AGAAACTCATCAATTCAATTTGCTTTCGGTCATTTCACCTTCAACAATCGATATGTTTATCTGTAGTGGTGAGAAGCTAAGATTCCGGACGACTGGATTTTTAGGGAGGTGAGAACAGGTCACTGCACTGTGTATCTCTATACCACCTTGATGTTATCGTCACCCTGATACATCCTCCAGTAGTCGTCGGTGCTATACTCTTGTTCCATTAGTGTTAGGTATGAGGGCTGAATTATGTTTAACACAGGATGCCATGGGAACAATGAGATGATTATTTGAGATTCTATCTTTTTCAGGAAATCAGGTTGCTAGGATATCATCGTGCAATATCTGGTCACTGGAAATCACTTACAACAGTTTGAGAACAGAACGTTTAACTTTTTCTCACATCCTCCTAGCATGTGGAGGACACCATATGCCCACTTATCTCGCGCTTCTTACACACTTTTACACGTCTTCGTAATTCATAAGCTGGCACAACAAAGTTATACTGGAGTTTTTCTGCTTCTTTTTGGACACATCCAAGGCATTAGGAAGGCACCAGTTTTCAGGACCGCATCTGTAGACTCGTTAATATACATATATCCTTTCTTTCACTGCCTCTTCCATGATGAACCGCTTGGAGTAGTAAGTAGTTAACTCCTACGAGAGGAAAGCTAAACGAACCTCCTCAAGCTCAACAATCAGGAAGAGCTCCCATCGCTTGCTGATTTAAGTTAGCTTCAGACATCTATGCCGTGTGCATTTCCCATCAATCGTCTACTTTAACTACTGCCTTTACCTCGCCAATACTATCCGCGTACAGTGGCTGACACTCGCGGAGTAGCTGTATTTCCTTCCATTCGGCCGTGGGTGTGCAAACCATGGTCAGGCAAAATACGTGTGGTATTTGGATTCCCACACAGTGTGGTCACTAATTGGAACTCCATAACAGTAATGTTGTAACGAAAGAAGACAAGGGCCAGGCGACAGGTCGTTTATCGAGAAAATCAACAGATATTTAAAGATTTCTATGTATATTATTATTCGTTATAATTGGCAGACAATCAGAGTCTTCTCATTGGTTGCTTCCTTTCTGAAATTTATGGCGTCATCTCTTTGCGGCCATTTCTTTGAAGGTCAGAGCATATATCTGCTAATCGTATCCGCCCACACTCAGTCTGCTGTGATTGGTTGTTGAGTTCCTCAACGTCAGGCTTTCTTCTTGTTCTTTTCTCATGACTCCGATTTGGGCCGTAAAAATTGACGTAAATTGCTGTCTACCAATCTGGCTAGCAGACAGCTCTCACCACAATGTGATATCAGCCCAATCTATGTAGGCCTACAGAAACAAATTAGATCCATATGGAGACAATTACTGCAAGGATAAATGCAGACCACCAAAGCCTACCATTCTTTATCATCTGAATCTGATTCCTAGGTCATAGCCATTTCAACTTATGGTTGCTTATTAATATAATATATATATTTCACATAAATTAAGCATCAACATGGTTAACATACCGTTTGTACAGGCATGACCTAACTGTAAAGGGAGCTTGATATAATATATAACTGCTTAGCTTATTCCTCACATGTACTTTTGAGATGTGACAAGTCTGTGATAGAGTCAGCTACACTGATCGAAAGAGTGACAATACCTTTATATTATTCCGCCTAGTTAACTGGCTCACTGGTATTGCACACGGTCCCACGGTGGGGCTAGCAACCCCACACCACTAAATCTCTCAGACTTCTAGAGACGCTTCAACACACAAATGTATTGAAAATACAAAAACTTCAAATAACAACAATCTTATTCTTCTCTCGAATCGGAGAGGCGAAATGACACATAGGGCTGGTGAAAGCTCTCGGGAAACTAGTCAACCAGTGTGTCTACTCTCGATGAAAGCTTGGGTTAGAATGGGTACGTGGAATGCCCGTACAATTTACGAGACTTGGGAGGCTGTCCAGGTAGCAAAGAGATGAAGATATGGCTTAGAAGTGGAATGGATGTGGACTGACAGCATTCTCAACGGGAGAGTCAATAATCTAGTCTGGTCATCCAGAGGACAATCACGAACACACTGATGCAGTGAGTGGCTATCATGATGTCACCAGTGGCAGCCAAAGCCTTAATGCAGTGGGAACCAATTTCATCCAGGATCATGACAGCACGATTCAACTCAAAAGGAAGAAAGGTAACAATTATCCAATGCTATGCACAATGTTACTAACAACGCGGAACAAGAGATAAAGGAAGATTTCTATGGACAACTGCAAAAAGTAATGGACAATATCCCAAATGGTGACACCGTAAAGTCTCCCTATGGGCGATATGAGTTCCAAACTGGTAGTAGACAATACGGAAGGAGAATTCACCACTGGTCGAGAGGCCCTCACTAGGCAAAATGAATGAGAACAGAGAACTCTTCGCAGACTTCTGTGACTTCAATGATTTGATAATCGGAGGCAGCGCGTACAAGCACAAGGATATACACAAAGCAACATGGATTTCGCCTGACGGACGCAACATAAAGCAGATAGACTTCATCTCAATGCTGCTCAAGGTGAAGGTACAATCCATGGAAACAAATGGGGACAGACCACAATTCAAGTTCAACATTCAGAATCTGAAGGAGAAAACTTAAAGGGATGCCTTCGTTACAGATCAGATCAGAGCTAAGTCGCACACACTACGTGGCATCACTGAGGAAACTTGTGTGGAAGAACATTGAAACTCTCTGAAAGCGATATTTAAGGAAACATGTACAACTGTTCTTGGAAGAAGGAAGAGACAAGACAAGGAATGGCCATCAACGGATACCTGGAAGCTAATAGAGGAGAGGAGGATGGTGAAGGAGAAGATGACCCAATGCAAAGATGGGCGACAGAAGGAGAAGCTGAGTTCACTGTACGCGGCACTGAATAAAGAAGTAAAGAAGAGTATTAGAAAGGACAAAGGACAATTCTACGACATACTAGCCTGCAACTGAAGCAGAACAGGCAAGTCGCAGGCAAAAGAGACCTCAGAACATTATATCAGATTATCAGGTCTCTATCCAGGAAGAGATCAACCCAGATGATGAAACCAATAAAAGATGTTCGAGGGAACCTGATCACCAAATAGGAAAGACAAGCCAAATAATGGACTGATCACATTAAAGGACTCTTGAATCGACCGCCACTGGCAACTCGCCCAGAAATGCAACACCAGCAGCACACCCGGGAATGACAGTGGACACCACTCCTTCAACGAAAGAAGAAATCCTGAATGCGATCAACCTACTGAAGTCCAATCGGGGAGGCAGCAGGAACAGACGGCACTCCTCCCGAAGCCCTGAAGACGGCCCCAGAGATTATGGCAGATTTTCTCACTCCGTTACTGCCAAAAGTTTGGTGAGAAGGAAGGGTGTCTACTGATTGGAAGAAGGGCTACCTCGTCACACCCACCACCAAAGAAGGGTGACTTAGGCCTCACTCTGCAAGAACTGGCGTGGAATAAGGCTATTGTCTATGCCAAGCAAAACACTAAGTCACATCATCCTGGAGAGAACAAAGGATGCATTGAATACAGTACTCCACCGGCATGGAACAAGCTGGATTCAGGAAAGGCAGTTGCAATTCTACGCATCGTCTTCACAGAACATAGCATAGAATGGCAATCAAACCTCTTTCTACCTCAACATCTTTCATCGACTTCGAAAAGGTCTCCGACAGACAGCGTAGACAGAGAAGCAATTTGAAAACTACTTCAACACTACGGCGTACCTCAAGTCTTTGTCAACCTCATCCAACAGCTGGCTATATGACAATGCCATATGCCAGGTGATCCACAATGGGAAAACTCAGCGAGGCGTTTGAAGTGCATACAGGTGTAGGACAAGCTGGCTGCCTATTATCACCGATGATATTTTTAATCGTGGTGGACTGGATTATGCATCAGACTGTTGGGGGCGAGGAGTCAGAAATACGCAGGAAAACCGATAAGAAGACTCTACAAGATCTGGATTTCGCAGATGATATGTGTTTAATGTCACACAAACCCGAAGACTTGCAGGCGAGAACTAACAAACTGAATGAAGAGGCTGGCAGCGAAAACAGGACTGCAGGTGAACATAGAGAAGACGGAGGTGATGAAAATAACCAATCAACAACGACAACAACAACCATCACCAATCACCAACAACGAGAGAGGTTTGACAGAGGTTGTCTCCTTCACTTATCTAGGAAGCATCGTTTCAACTACAGGTGGAACGGACGAAGATGTCAAAGCCAGCCAGCCAGAATCGGAATGGTAAGATACCCCTTCGTCAAACTGAAACCAGTTTGAAATCTTCCGTACTCAGAATAAGGAACAAGATTCTCATTTTCAACACCAATGTGAAGTCGATCCTTCTATGCGGGTGAGAAACTTGCACTGTATGTCAGTCACGAAAAGGACTGCCAACAGATCAGTGCAGACTTTCATCAACAGCTGCTCGCTTCGCTGGCTCCATACTGAAGATCAGATGGCTGGCCAGAAAGAGTAAGCAACATGAAACTATGGGAACAAACCAACCAAGAGCCGATCGCTCAAAATCATTTAGGAGAAAGTGGAGATGGATCGGTCATACATTGAGGAGGCCGCCGAATGACATCGCACGTCAGGCCATTACTCGAGTGGAATCCAAATGGGAAGCGATGAGTGGGTCGTCAGTGCGAGGGTGACATGAAGGAGATCGTGTGAGGAAGAGATGAGAGAGTTTGGCCAATCGTGGACCCAGCTGAAGAGGACGACAGGAAACAGAACAAAGTGGAGGGGCTTTGTTGAAGCCCTGTGTTCCACTCGGAAAGCAAAGGAATAATAATAATGATTAATTTGTCAATTGTCACTCCATCTCCTGTGATATTTGCGGAGAGCTACCAAATAAGTTAATACAAAGCTCACTGAAAGCATGAAGTCATCTTCTTAGACGAATAAGATAGGGAGAATGAATCATCTAGTTTGCAGTGTCTTGGATCAGATTCATTGAGTATTGAACGGCGATCATTATGAAGTACGTACGCTACTGCGTGGTGAATCTCGCTGGCTTCGATAGCTCACTGTCTCTGCATTCTCATCAACACCGTCCGCCAAGATAAATTTCCATCATGCCGAAGTGCATAAAAATGGATCGTTTTCGATACATAAGCTCTGAAGCTTGGCGAGCCTTAACTGCTGTAAGTAATTCAGAGATTCGGTAATATCCTTTTGTTGTAGATAGAAATGGGTCTCAAAAATCATGAAGTTGTTCCTCCTGAGTTGGCACTCAAAATCTCGCATATTAAACGCAGTTGTGCAGGTTTCATTCGCTTAGTTCAAGAGCACTTAATTCCATATAGTTTGGTTGCTTATGAAACAGATAATAGACATTGTAAGTGGATTCTGTGATGATCATGATCTTATTTGAAAGCTACTTTTACAGCCAATTAGTGATTTTTTTCTTAAATCACTGACTGTCCGTAACTGTTGCTAGCAGTGATATTCGCGATACTGAGGACTAACTGTTCTTTCTTTGGTTGTAGCAACAAAAGGATATCGCCTTACTAACATGGGATACGATTACCTTGCTTTAAATCAGTTTTTCAAATCCGAACAGCTGAGTAGCTTGGGTACAATGGTCGGTGCAGGAAAGGAGTCAGACGTCTACATAGGCACTGCCGGTGGACGCTGTGGTCAGACTTCAGATGAATCAGAGGGCCCTTCAGAAGGGCTTCCGCTAGAAGGGGACTTAGTTATTGTAAAGTTTCACAGGCTTGGAAGGACATCTTTCAGAAAAGTGAAGAACAAAAGGGAATATCATCAACACAGAAATAAGTGCTCTTGGCTGTATTTGGATAGATTAGCGTCCAAACGAGAATTCGAGATGATGCAGGTAACTGGGTCATTTTAATTAATTGCATTCCATAGGGTCTTTATAATAATGGTGTTCCTGTTCCTATGCCATATGCACATAATCGGAATGCTGTATTAATGTCTTATGTGAAAGAAAGTTCGCCGTTATACAGGCTACTTCCAGTTGTTTTGAGTTCTAACGAATCTGCTATCGCACGGGCTTTGTATTACCAAGCGAAGGATATCCTAGAAAAAATAGCTGGTCTGGGCCTTATTCATGGGGATTTCAATGAATTCAATTTGATGGTTACCGGTTTGGACTCGACACCTAATGAGAAAGGGGATAGCAACCCGAAACTTGTCCTTATTGATTTTCCACAAATGATCAGTCGTGACCATAAATTAGCTAAGAGGTCAGTGTTTCTAATTTTCTTCGTATTGATGCATTATTTATATATTTCTTATCTCATACAAAACGCTCGCAAATATAATAGGAAATGGTGTTACAAATGGTTTTCGAAAGAACAACTTACAACCATCTCTAAGGTGCTGATAACACCTCCACATGTTTTCATTCTGTTGTCACAATACTTTTATTTCCAATTCTCTTGATATCCGTACTTGAACAAGTTTGCTTTTTAAGTGAATTAAAACTTCAGTGAGGTACATTTGGCAGGTATTGATAATCGATGCTTACTTTCATAGTTATCCACTTTCTCTGCATATATACTAATTTAGGTTATTTTTCGCGGACAGATGTAAGGTTAACTGATCATATAGGCATTTTGTTTGCTTAACATTGCTGAAATGAAGTCATCTGGTGTACGGATGAATTGGTTCATGTATTCTGAAGTAATGTCTATGCTGATACGGCATAATTAAAACTGAAGAGTAGGATCGAAACTGGACAGTAATCTGTGAAATCATTAAATACTACTGAGTTTGTTGTGGGAGATGCAGGTATTGTAATCAGTAGTTAAGGCATGATATGAACACTCTAAGATTCCGAAAGGCGTTGCAGAATTACTCGTGTTGGTACATGCGTTAGTATTTTATTCTCTTCTAAAGCTTGAAAATCTTCATGTGAAAATTGTTTGATTTTTACAATTTGTTCTCTATTTCATAGTTTTCGTGTAACTATTGATAACAGCGTAAATGAGGTATTTTCCGCTTTGTTGATTTCGTTTATGTTGTGTTCATACTAGTCTCACTAACTCTCCCGACAAACACCTAAAATACAACCATCCTTATACAAGAAAATTGAGAATATTTCTTATATTTCAAGCGCATGACAGTGTTTTGATTATTTTAGAGTTATTCCGTACTCTAAATTTGCCAGGAACTTAGAGTAATCAACTATGACTGCTTGTTCGTCGGCCAGAATAAAGAAATCACATTTGTGCCACTGCTCTAGTTGTGTTGCCAGAAATAACCGTAATATATAATAACAGTCGATTCTTTTAAAATGCCTGCTTAACATGTATTAGGATGAAGATTGTTGAACTAACTGCAATGAAGCGTAAAATTGAGGAGAAGTGCATCCCACAATTCAAATCTAAAAGATGAGAAGCGCTCATTGTGCAGGTTCCATTGATTATCTCGAGAACTTGACTTTTGATCATTGGCTTCAGGTTTCAACAATCATCGCCGTCCAGTGTCTTCCTCATATCCAACTTGTTGAGTTTCATTGTCACGAATTTTCAGTCAAACTCTCCTGAATTCCTCACTGTTGAGTTTCCATTGCAGCATTCCTAAAGTAGAGATAAAAACCCAGATTCGTAACAAAATTAATAAGACGATTAATAACTACATGTCAGCTCTAAGCATTCCCTTTTAGTTTACTACAGCAAACATAAATAAATACAATAATATTCACTACAATAGTGGAATTCATTGAGTGGAAGCTTCTGTCGTCTAAACAACTGATCACAAGATATAAGGGTAAAGGCATTTGCAGATGACCAAAAATACCAAGAGCATTTTGTTCTAATCTTTTTGCTTCCGCAGTGTTAAGGTACACTTTTTGTCTGTTCTTTCTTATAGTATTTATGAACGCGATGTAGAGGGCGTTGTTAGCTTTTTCAGTCGATATTTTGAAATTCCATCGGATGATTTGCCGTCTTCCCTTGATACGATTAAGTGAGTTTAATCTTAGTAAGTTTTTGGTTACCACTATTGATTAAAACATCATCTGTGCATTTGGCTAAGAATTTATAGGTTGAGGTAACTATAGACACTTGTCATTTATTTCATTAGCACTCTATTTGTGTATCACTGATATTAGCACCAGTCTGTTTTTGATTTTGTTTTGATAAGACATTTCACAAGTGTGAATAAACACGCGAATCGGTTCTAAAACTATCAGGCCAATTAGCAATTGTTTCTCAGCAAAAACAGCAGTCGTTTGCTTTCTGTGACAACTATTAGCATCTAAATAATATATATTTTATCTACCTGTCATTTTGCTTTGTCAACGTCTAACAACATCAATTTACTGTGCATCTAACACTCTAGCATAAACTGTTAGAAGTGCTTTCCTGTGAGTTATCTTATCTCCACCTTCTTACACCTGTGCGTTTCGAGCATTCAGTTTGATTGATCACCTTTATCTTTTTTTTAATTTATTCGTTTCCAAAGTGAGATCATAATATTTTAGGTTGCTTATTAGTTACCCCTTCTTCCTTGTATTTGGCTACAGAAGCGCCACAGTTGAGGATTGTATTCATTATTGTTTTGGTCATAATGTTATTTACGTACAGCTGATAACGAACCATAATAAATTTGATTCTCAATACTATTACAAGTTTAGGATTTTAAGTACATCACTCAGTGTGGTGTAATTATCATCGTTTGCATATAATATGCAGCAATATAATAATAATGAGACATCTCAGTTTTCACAAGTAATTCGACATTATGACTTGTAGACCACTTTTACGAGTTAGCAAGTGTAAGTGATAACCTGAATGTTACTTTCCAAAGTGACTGTACAGTAAGTATTCATTTATGCGTGAATCTCTATGTACTTAGCTATTAAATCTATCAGACTTACATGTTGTAAAAGGTGCCTCAGCCTAGTGGTTCATCTGATTACTGGTAGTCAATGAGGAGTTAACTTAATACATGACATAAGGACGAAATAAAGAAATGATAATAATGAATACAACCATTCTTTAACTCTGCTGGAATAATCTCTTATCCACAGTATGTTTCAGCACTATAGTAGTAGCACCCTATGGTAAATGCATAGGGTCGTTGGACTTTTCGTTGGTCTTGGTGTTATGTTGCACATGAACGAAACTCATTGAAGAAAATATAATAAAAGACTAACAGTAAACCAAATTTGGTTTCTAGTTGCTTATGATAATATCCTGAAAAAAATACAAAGACTTCTCATTAAAAGTGCTGCTTCACTGATTCTTCTTAAAAAAGGCTGATATTGCGTGGAAATACTACTCAAAAGTAACCAACTATCCTCTTTAGGATGCATTCACAATACAGATAGCTATTGTAGTCATTTCTATCCATACCCTTTGACGTAGATGAATTCCACGGAAGATTTTTGGTGTAGTCCGAAGAATACATTTTGAGCTACAAACTCATTTCAGTATTATTTCATTTGTATTATAAGTTACCAGACCGTAGGTATTCCAAACGTCCTAGAATTATTCGACCACCAAGCCAGATTGATTCAAAATAAATAATTCAAACTAATCCCAGTATGTTTAAGAAGAATCGAAACGAGATTTTTCTGAACGTTTCGCTGTGTAAGCCACAGCTTCTTCAGAAGATTTATTCGGATTTTATTATTCACCAAAATATATAGTCAAAAATTATTTTCACATAAATTGAAGTCATTTTTTCGAAGGTCACTTGACCATAGACATTTGTACCAATAGAAATATGTTAGCAGTCATCACATATCTGTAATGACTGATGTCAACATTTTATTGTGTATATTTTTTCTGTATGAGTGCGTGTGTATGTTATTTGTCATATGGAAAACACGTCAATTCACATGTGATGAACATGATAATACATTTTTTTTAAAAGTCATGGAGGTTCATAGAGGTTTTTGTTGTTTTTTTCATCTTTATTGCTTCATCACAGCTTGCTATATAGGTGATAAGTCTATCCCTTCCTTCCTTCTTACTGCATTCGATGTGGTTAAAATGTGCAAGGCTTCAGAGGTCAACCTTTCTTCATGCGAATGAAATCCTCTTCCAAGAATTTCGACATTTGTCGAAATCAATCTCATGTCCGCTGTCTATCGCATGCATTGCTATAGCCGATATTTTTTCTAGACTTTTTAATTCTACTTCATTTCTAGGTGGACGTTTCGTGCATAGTCTATGCTCAATCACTCTGACCTTCACCTGCCTACTGCTTTCCCCTATGTAGCATGCATCACATTTTGAACACATTATCTTGTAGACACAATTACTTTGTGACATTTTGGGAACCATATCTTTGACATGCACCAGTGCTTCCTTCAGAGAATTAGAAGGTTTGACATAGACTTTAATATTATATGAAGCAAATAGTCTTTGAAGTTGTTCAGCTGTGTCCTTTCGATATGGGATGGCTATCATCGATAGCTGAGATTTCTCAATTTTCGGTTTTCCCTTATGCTCCTTTTTATTGATAATATTATCTAGTAGCTTTTCCGGATAACCATTTCCAATCAAAATCTGTTTTATGTTGGATATCTCGTTCTCCATATCGTCATTATCTGTTATAATGTTTCTAGCTCTGTTAACGAGATTTAAACCTACTGAAACTTTCATTCCTATTGGATGATCTGATTGGAAATTCAAATACTTGTCGGAATGTGTCAGTTTTCTGCATATTGTAAACTTTAGTTTCTCGTCAGTTTGTCTTTTTACAAGACAATCAAGAAAGTTTAGAGTTCCCTCAGCCGATTCTACTTCATTAGTAAACTCTATATATTCTGAGATTAAGTTAATTTCTGTTAGAAAGTTTTCTTTTTCAGCTTTCTTTATGATGATAAATGTGTCATCTACATATCTGTACCATATTCTAGGATGACAACTAAAACTTGTCAATGCTTTCTTTTCTAGGGCTTTCATATATAGGTTTGCTACAATTGGAGATGCTGGTGAACCCATTACAACTCCATTTGTTTGACAGTATAGTTTGTCTTTAAAAGTAAAATATGTAGATTCCAAACAAAGTTTTAAGTATTTTATAACTTCATCTATTGATAATAAAGATTTAGTTAATACTTCTTGATTGTTTTCAAGTTCATATTTCATAATATCGAGTGAATCACAAATAGGAATACTAGTAAATAAAGAAACCACATCAAAACTTGCCATAATTTCGTCTTCTTCAATAATTATGTCCATTACTTTTTTTGATGTTCGAAGGAATATTGTATTGAAGTGGTTTCAGTATTCTTGATATGTATTTTGATAAAGTATGTGTTACTGAATTGGTAAAATCAGTTAGTGGTCTTAAAGGAACATCCACTTTATGTATTTTCGGCCTTCCATAAAATCTCGCGGCCATGTTTGTCTTGGGAGCTATTGAAAACCAAACTGAGTTCCCTAGTTTTGGTTTCAATTCTCTAAGTATATTGCATACTTGGGCTTTTACTTTGTTCATTGTACTAGACATTTTGTTTACTGGTACTAATGTGTAAGGCCCTGCTTCGATATGCTCCATGGCTTTTTTGTCATAGTCGTCTTTATTGAGAATTACAGTGATATTGCCTTTGTCAGCTTTAGTTATAACAATAGATTTATCTGATCTTAATGTTTTTAATGCATGACGTTCGGCCTTCGACAAATTTGAAATGCCCTGCTTTTGATTCGATAGGATACATCCAACCTTCTGACGTAATTCATTAGCTTCATCATCAGTTAAAAGATTTAATATAGGTTCCATGATGGGAGCTAATTCTATCGCTGTCAGTGGTTTTCGAGTTATGTTAAAGTTTAGTCCTTTTTCAAGTAGTGCTGTTTCATGTACATTGAGTTCTCTATCTGATAAGTTGCATACTGTTCTTGTGTTTGTCTGTACATTTGACTTATTTGCTCTGGCGTATGCTGCTTTCGGATTTATAAGTTTTTCAAACTTTCGAATTTGTCTTTGTTTCGTAGCATTGAAATGAGCGGACTTTCGATCTTCGAATAATTGGGTAATTGTAGTTAGATGATCTTTGGATATAAGAATATTCAGACAATCATCAATATTGTTAATTCGATATTGATAATGTTGCATTACTAATGTACATTTGTGTGTCCTTTCTTGAAGGAAAACGCGAGATGCTACAATAGATGCTTTTATAGATCGCTGAGATTTTTCCGGAACTCTTATTAAGGGATTTCGGAATGATATCGCTTTTTAAACATCGTAAATTGAATATACGGTGATTGTACCAGTTTGAATGAAATTTTGATAATTTATTCCGATTTTTAATAAGATTATAGGTTTCCAGGCCGTAGGTGTTACGAACTTCCTGGAATAATATTCAATTTATGTATATTCAATTTACGATGTTTAAAAAACGATATCATTCCGAAATCCCTTATAATAAGAGTTCCGGAAAAATCTCAGCGATCTATGAAAGCATCTATTGTAGCATCTCGCGTTTTCCTTCGAGAAAGGATACACAAATGTACATTAGTAATGCAACATTATCAATATCGAATTAACAATATTGATGATTGTCTGAATATTCTTATATCCAAAGATCATCTAACTACAATTACCCAATTATTCGAAGATCGAAAGTCCGCTCATTTCAATGCTACGAAACAAAGACAAATTCGAAAGTTTGAAAAACTTATAAATCCGAAAGCAGCATACGCCAGAGCAAATAAGTCAAATGTACAGACAAACACAAGAACAGTATGCAACTTATCAGATAGAGAACTCAATGTACATGAAACAGCACTACTTGAAAAAGGACTAAACTTTAACATAACTCGAAAACCACTGACAGCGATAGAATTAGCTCCCATCATGGAACCTATATTAAATCTTTTAACTGATGATGAAGCTAATGAATTACGTCAGAAGGTTGTGGATGTATCCTATCGAATCAAAAGCAGGGCATTTCAAATTTGTCGAAGGCCGAACGTCATGCATTAAAAACATTAAGATAAGATAAATCTATTGTTATAACTAAAGCTGACAAAGGCGATATCACTGTAATTCTCAATAAAGACGACTATGACAAAAAAGCCATGGAGCATATCGAAGCAGGGCCTTACACATTAGTACCAGTAAACAAAATGTCTAGTACAATGAACAAAGTAAAAGCCCAAGTATGCAATATACTTAGAGAATTGAAACCAAAACTAGGGAATTCAGTTTGGTTTTCAATAGCTCCCAAGACAAACATGGCCGCGAGATTTTATGGAAGGCCGAAAATACATAAAGTAGATGTTCCTTTAAGACCAATAATTGATTTTACCAATTCAGTAACATATACTTTATCAAAATACATATCAAGAATACTGAAACCACTTCAATACAATATTCCTTCGAACATCAAAAAAAGTAATGGACATAATTATTGAAGAAGACGAAATTATGGCAAGTTTTGATGTGGTTTCTTTATTTACTAGTATTCCTATTTGTGATTCACTCGATATTATGAAATATGAACTTGAAAACAATCAAGAAGTATTAACTAAATCTTTATTATCAATAGATGAAGTTATAAAATACTTAAAACTTTGTTTGGAATCTACATATTTTACTTTTAAAGACAAACTATACTGTCAAACAAATGGAGTTGTAATGGGTTCACCAGCATCTCCAATTGTAGCAAACCTATATACGAAAGCCCTAGAAAAGAAAGCATACACAAGTTTTAGTTGTCATCCTAGAATATGGTACAGATATGTAGATGACACATTTATCATCATAAAGAAAGCTGAAAAAGAAAACTTTCTAACAGAAATTAACTTAATCTCAGAATATATAGAGTTTACTAATGAAGTAGAATCGGCTGAGGGAACTCTAAACTTTCTTGATTGTCTTGTAAAAAGACAAACTGACGAGAAACTAAAGTTTACAATATGCAGAAAACTGACACATTCCGACAAGTATTTGAATTTCCAATCAGATCATCCAACAGGAATGAAAGTTTCAGTAGGTTTAAATCTCGTTAACAGAGCTAGAAACATTATAACAGATAATGACGATATGGAGAACGAGATATCCAACATAAAACAGATTTTGATTGGAAATGGTTATCCGGAAAAGCTACTAGATAATATTATCAATAAAAAGGAGCATAAGGGAAAACCGAAAATTGAGAAATCTCAGCTATCGATGATAGCCATCCCATATCGAAAGGACACAGCTGAACAACTTCAAAGACTATTTGCTTCATATAATATTAAAGTCTATGTCAAACCCTCTAATTCTCTGAAGAAAGCGCTGGTGCATGTCAAAGATATGGTTCCCAAAATGTCACAAGTAATTGTGTCTACAAGATAATGTGTTCAAAATGTGGTGCATGCTACATAGGGGAAAGCAGTAGGCAGGTGAAGGTCAGAGTGATTGAGCATAGACTATGCACGAAACGTCCACCTGGAAATGAAGTAGAATTAAAAAGTCTAGAAAAAATATCGGCTATAGCAATGCATGCGATAGACAGCGGACATGAGATTGATTTCGACAAATGTCGAAATTCTTGGAAGGATTTCATTCGCATGAAGAAAGGTTGACCTCTGAAGCCTTGCACATGTTAACCACATCGAATGCAGTAAGAAGGAAGGAAGGGATAGACTTATCACCTATATAGCAAGCTGTGATGAAGCAATAAAGATGAAAAAAACAACAAAAACCTCTATCAACCTCCATGACTTTTAAAAAAGATGTATTATCATGTTCATCACATGTGAATTGACGTGTTTTCCATATGACAAATAACATACACACGCACTCATACAGAAAAAATATACACAATAAAATGTTGACATCAGTCATTACAGATATGTGATGACTGCTTACATATTTCTATTGGTACAAATGTCTATGGTCAAGTGACCTAAAAAATGACTTCAATTTATGTGAAAATAATTTTTGACTATATATTTTGGTGAATAATAAAATCCGAATAAATCTTCTGAAGAAGCTGTGGCTTACACAGCGAAACGTTCAGAAATGTCTCGTTTCCTTTCTTGTCAAACACGCAGGGATTATTTCGAATGATTGTTTATGTGTTTTATTTGTGGCTGTCTGGTTAAATGTACGGATTTGCAAACGGGTTTTGTTTTGTTAACAAGTTGGGAGATTGGGAAAGTTTCCTAGACCGCATTAGATTGAAGTATCATCTGTGCAACAATGTCTACTCTAGAAGTGAAAATTTTTGTTTCACTATTTTTTTCCTGATTGGTTCACGCGCTACTGGTTTTGTAAGTTTTTATGACAGGTTTTGGTCGTGGCCGTTATTGTTTAACTCTATTTGCGGCTTCAAGTGATGACCTTCCACATAAACAAAGCCGCGAATGAGTGAAAATTAATGAAGAAACGAGAATAAGTACGTCTGTCATATTTGTTTTTCAAGCGTTGGTTTGCAGGGATTTCATTATTTTCAGGATATCATTCAAAGCTGACATCGTCTAGAGAACCTTTTGAAAACCTGCCGGAAGTACTGGACAGCTGTGTCGTTCTAGCTTGGCACTCCTCATCAGTACGCACCAACCACCAGGGTTCGAATCTAGGACCTTCCGTTTACAAGGCGAACTCGTAGACCATTAAGCGACTTGAACTCTATCCAATGACCAGTCCATAAATTCCAACTTCTGCCAAGTCAGTATGCAGCGCGACCACTAGCGAATGTCATCGGTGACGAGTATTCGCTCTCACACCGAACTCGCTTTTATTTGTTGTTTTTATTTGTACCACTTACGATCTTATGTTTTATAGGATATTTCAACCACTTGAGCCATGTACCATAGATTACTTGAGTGAACAGTCTTTGGCTTCATGGATTGCTCTTACTAGTTGGTTCGGTAACAGTTTGTCCTTTCATATTTAATCTCCATGTAATACAGGTACTTCGTTCACTGTGATTGTAATCGTATCTCGGTGCAAAGTGGTTACTTTTTTATCTTACTTTTGCTAAATTCATGCTAAATATTCTGGTTCAATGAATGAATTGTCCTGCGTTTTGCAGTTGTACTTTGCTAATGATACTATCTCGTTTTAGTTTAGCAATAAATAGCACCTAATGTGTGGATAACAAGCAATAGTAGGTGTCGTTATCTTAAATGATAGCCTCAGTCCTAGTAGAGTGCATTTACGTGTTACACAGCCTATGAATTCAAGATGTGACGAATAAATATTGAAAGCGTGTGTCTTTGTATAAAGTTTTGGTGGTCTTTACGAGTTTCATGTAAGAATGAGTAAGCATGCTTTGTCTACTGTCAGTCAAAACAGGTATCCAGATTTTCATTCAATGAAAATACATACGCTTTACACCAATGATTGCGATTCACACATGATCTGGACATATTATGTTTTGTTTAGTGTATTCAGAGAGTATGTAAAGATGAACATTTTAGTGTCTTTTTTTGTTTTGATGAACAGACGTACTAGCGATATCGACGTACAGTTGAAAGCTCCAGGCTATATTTCCCGCAATAATAATAATAACCATCGTCGAGCGCGGCACACAGTTGACGATTCGCTGTTGGGCACTGTCGCTCGACTACAGTTGTCATCATCAGAAGAAGAAAGCGAAAGCGAAAACGGTGAATCCGAGTTGGACAATACTGATTCCGCTACAGATGAAGAATCAAAATCTGAAAGTGATAACGAACAGAAATCTGAGACTGAAGAAGAGTCAGAGTCCGAAAGTGATGAAGAATGCGATACAGATAGTGTGAAACATTCGAATACACAAAATGATACTGATGTGCGAATTATGAAGACTAAAACCGTACGTTTATTTTACTCTGGCAGTTGAGATTATTTAAATGATCCCTTTGAATTTCCTGTCTGTAATAATAATAGTAATAATTTACTTTATTCTAAAAACAGTACTTATAATACAGAATGGAATTCTCAGCATTTGTCACAATATTGCATCTGATTTACTCAAAATGTATATAAAATTAAAAATTAATCGGAGGAATTTGTCCACATTTACGACATAAAATATTAGATATAATAATAATAAATAATAATAACAGTGAGTTTGTTTCAAACGGTATTGTCGATTCAGTTTGGAAACTTTAGCATGTTATAGATTATTGGGTCTAATGTTCTGTTGATATGGTATAGTGAGGTGAAATACAAAGTTAACAGTCATAATACAGCTTAAAATTATGTTCACACTTATGAAAAATAAAATAAACAAAGTGAAAAATTGAGAGGATTATAAGTATAAGAAATACATAAACAATAAAGTATGATGCTTTATGGTTGAAGGAAATGGTCTATTTAGTGGTGCTAAGAAGGTTAGTTAGTTCATTTCTGACACTATTTTCATCACATAGAGTACGTGCTAAATATGGTATAGTGGAATTTTCATACTTAGACGTACGTGCATAAAGTCTTCTGAAAAGACTCATTGTTTTACCTGAGGAGACACAAGGTTGGAGCTGCTGGTAGAGTGGGTGCTCAGAGTCTGACAAAATTCCTCTAGCGAAACTGTTGCATGACATCAAATGCCTATCGGTGACAATGCCAACGATATGGCCCAATGGGATGCCACTCGTCCTACTGACAGTCTTCAGAGTCCTATGAAGTATGACATAGTCCCTTTTTAGCAATCCAGGAAAGAATAATGGTGAACAGTAAAGAAGAATGGGTAAAATAAACGAGTTGATAAACTGTAAGAGGAGTGGTTGAGTTATGCCCGAGTGCTTTAACTTTTTAATGTAAAAAGTCAAACGAAATATTCTCTTAGAAATCGCTAAGACATGAGAAGACCAAGATAGGTCAGAAGAAAGAATTAATCCAAGATACTTAACTTCAGACTTGCTTTCTATATCAGTATCACTTAGACCTAGAAAAGCTCTAGTTTAGGAGGATGTCATCTTATTTGAGTTGCTTGAGTCGGCTGGCTCGTACATAGTTTGTAATCAGTTTGTAATGGTTGCCTTGGAATAAAATCTAATGGTTCACTAAAGAGAACCTGACGCAATAGCCATCAAGGCTCTTAGGGGTAATTTGAATGACCAGTGCTTTTTCATAGGACTTTGGACTTTTTTCCGATATTAACAATTGTATAATGCACAGTGACGCTGGGTACAGATACGTAGGAAAAAATTATTTCAGCTGGGTAAGGTATATGCCACCTATGCCCAAAAACAGTGTACCATAGAATTTCGTTTTAACATTCTTACTGTGGTATAAAACAATTTCAATCATTCCTTTTGTTGTTCTACTTTAGGCACCATCTGTAATTACAGTTGACGAGATTCGTGAACGTCAACGTCGCGAGAGAAGACGTCAAAAGCAGATTGACTTCAATCGTCAATTAAAGCGGCACAATCGTGCTGCTATGAAACGTCAGGGTCGTCTTAATATGAAAGCAGAAACTATACTTTTTGGATGAACACATGACATATATATATTTCACAAATTACGCAGTTTTCAGAAGATATTTTACATTGTTGTTGTATATAGTATTATTTTCTACCAGTGATTCAGATTGCTGTCCAGTCCACACTCACAAAACGCATCTCTCGTATTCTGTGGAGGCTGTGCATAATTGCAGATTTTCTGCTTGTATTATGCGTGATTGATTTACTCTCCTCCTGATGTTTAGCATCTTTATATTTGTGCTGTACATAACTGACTTTTGATAAATTAATTTACCTCTTTTTCTTGCGGGAAACTGACTTACCGTGATATTTGGTACTTATGGAATAAATTATATAATTAAATGATAGTTTTTATTGTTACTTGAATCCATGAGAAAGGTGAATTAAACCTGTAAAAAGCATGTGCAGGGCTATTTGTCGAAGACTGGTTGCTTTTAACAATGTAGTGCTTATGAGTAAGAGGCTTCTAGAATTCCCGGAGTTCTCATGGAAATTCATCAAAATCAAGTAACCCAATTTCAACTTGAAAGTTAGATGGAATAGGTGTTAGTCTGTATGGCTAATTGCCACTAGATGGCTGGTCAATGCAGTGAAGGATAGGCTACTTGTTAAAAAAACACCTAACGGTCCTGGGTCTAATCATGTGTAAGCTGTAATAACTGTCAGGTGCGTTTTGGTTCTCACTACTCATTGTTGCCCTTTTGTATCTATTCCTGTCTGTCTGTTTTCGACATAGAACTTTGTACATATATGCGGCAGTTCAAGTCGCCACACTCCCTCGTTGTAGCACACAAAGCAAGAGAAGAAAGTAGAAGAACTGCATAATATAGACAGTAAACAGAGGTGTGAGACAAAGGAATAGTAATAACGAAGAACAAAACAGTTTCATTGGAAATCATAAGTCACAAGGAGTGGATGCATCTGCACCAGCCATTGAGAACGAGGATTTTGAGCCACATCACCGATTGTCTACAGCCATTGGTATTTACCGTCCCGAGGACCCCAACCAGTCAGGAAGTCTGCACCTTCCTGCGTGGCCTAGACTAACTGTTGTGGATTTCATTGACTGATGAAGTCAAGTTTTGGTTTAACCACCGCTAGTTCTTTTTCAGCCTGACCCTATTTCAGCTAACATTGACCGTCGAGGAAGGCGATGACAAGGCATACGTAACACATGTCCTAACCATCTTGGTCGATGTAGCTTCACAGCCTCGTTGATTGACTGCCCCTCCTTACCTAGCACTCGACCGATGCCTAACCTCAATATTGCTCACCTTATTATACCACTTCACGCGGGAGATGGAACGCAGACACCTATGATCGAAGACAGCTTGCCAGCCTTTTCATGTCTTCCACTCTCAATGGCCAGGTTTCACAGCCATAAAGGAGGACAGAGTGGACTGATGAGCAGTACACACGCCCTTTGGTCGATAGTCGGATATCACGTCTATTCCTGTTATTGTTTTCAGTCTTATAATATTTGTGTTCATGCAAAAGTTTCTTTTAGCAAGCTTATCATAATGTTAGAAAATTTTTGTTTGAGACTGAAAATAACTCGCAGAGGGTTTAGTGACGGTACAGTAGATTCGTTCTCCGGACTAGACTTTCAAATTTTAACCAATAGGTCAGTGATGGAAATTGCCCTAATGTGACGTGAGTGTTTCTGTTTGTCGGCTTGTCAACCTGTATTTGGTTCGTAAAGTGTGTCATAAGTTATTTATTTTAGGCTTCTTGTATTGCCCCTCCACTTACTTATAATTCATCCACAATGGGAAATAAATATGTTGGAGAGATGTTAGAAACTGATCAAAGTGGTTATCTGTATCATTTTATGCACTAAATATCTGCTATGATGTATTTCAAGTGAATTCCTATTTGTTAAGGAATTTTGAATGTTCTTGAAAACGATAGATAAATAGGTGTGAAATCCGGGACTTATATTTCGTCCTAGTTGTGACTCGTCAGGTGGGTATATCCACACCTCTGTAGTAGTATTCCCATTGGGTTTCATGAATGCTTACTCTCAAAGTTGGACGCAGCAAGGTGAATCTTCTGATCCCATCTTCAGCTAAAACTTGACCAGTGAAGTAAGCTGTCATGTTGAAGACAGTGCATATAGTCAAGTAAAGTCACTTATGGCCGCTAACATCTGAAAGTGATATGCTCCGAAGGCAAGTATTTTTAGAGAACCTAAAAAGATTAACCATCTCAATAAAACTCCGAAGGTCAGCCAGCCATTTAAATATTAATGATAGTAAAAGTTCTTCATATTTTAGTCATCTAACTAGACTATTCCATGAAAACAACGTGATCATGTATTATTCCTGACCGTTTAAAAGAAGTTCGTGTTGCTATATTTTGCTTCATTCTGTTTATAATAATGACTCAAGGGTAGAGTCTAGAAGAACGCAGAAATTCCGTCCTGATATCCTACAGTTTCAAAACATGAACCTAATGTAAGTTGGCGCCCTGAGTGGATGGGCACAGCTACCTTGGAGAACTATACAAACTCCGTCCCTCTAATGGAAATTCAATGAGCAACTGTCCCATATTTATTTTTTTTGCCAAGTAACGGGTGTTTCAGTAATGTTGTTCCTGTAATTCACAACAGGAAGCAAAACCCTTAAAATGAAAACAGGAGAAAGACAAAGCGGCCTAGTACCACCAATGATCATCCTGATTTTGGTGGACTGGCTCATATAACAGACTGTGGGGAGTTCGAAGACGGCTATACGTTGGACCGACAAAATGACTGTTTTTGATCATAGATGTCTACGATCTCTTTCTCACGTTAGGTGGTATAATAAGAGGAGTAATGTTGACGTTAGGCGTAGAGTGTTGGGCAAAGAGGCAAAATCAATCGACGAGGCTATAAAGTTACATAGATTGAGATGGTTAGGTCACGTGCTGCGCATGCCTAACCATCGCCTCCCCGACGGGCATTACTGGCTGATATAGGTGCAGGTTGGAAAAGAGTAAGTGGTGGCCAAACAAAAACATGGCCTCATCAATCCATGAAATCCTTGACAGTTAAACTGAGTCAGGGGGGGAGATGCCGACTTCCGGGTTGGGGCCCTCGGGACTCTAAGAATCAAATTGATAGGATCCCACACACTTTGTTATTGTTCAATTACCTTAACGACTGTTAATCTCGCATAAGTGGTATATCATCATTTCCCACGCATTTTGTTATTAACTATTACGACCAATTATTTCAAATACTGTTAGCTGTCTGTATTGGTTGTAAAAATGTATAAATACCATTTCCTAAATAAGTTTCTTTGTCGTAGTTGTTGTACTACAATACACAGTCACAGACCAGACTTGTCTTTTGATATTTGCGTGGTTCGCTGAATCGGAAGGTACCAGAAGCAGATAGGCATATTATTCAGGCGCAGACAGAACAAGGCGACAACGTCCTCATTTAATTCCCCTACAGTTATAACAAATTGGCGACGGGGTTTTATCTTAATCCATTGCAGTTACAACACAAATCAATAGCTTCAGACAATAGGTGACATGGCTCAAAATCGTTGTCAATGGCACAGATGTACTCAGTCTCTGTAATCTTTCATATTCCTTTCTACCATTACTCATTCTGTTTCACTCTTATACTTGTCAAAACTCTATTGATTATCTTCACTCATCTTCTTGTCTACCTTTGTGTGCTATTTGGAACGTGTCAACTCGAACTGCTGCACTTCAGTGCCAAGTTCTATGTTGAATCCAGACAGAAAGGAGACAAGAGGAATGTTATGAAGATACCCAGCTAACAACAACAAGCACCAATCCACATTAATCGGAGGAATGTAAAGAAAATTGTCTCCTCCACTTATCTTAGAAGCATCGTCTCAACTACAGACAGGCGGCAAGGATCAGGATGGCGAAGAAAAACAGGTGTTCAGTACTCTGAAATCAGTTTGGTGTGGAGATCCGCAGCATTTAGAACATGAAACAACATTCGAATCTTCTACACTAATGTCAGGTCGCTGCTTCTATGTGGTGGTGAGATTCGATACACGCGTCACTGAAACCATTTCCAACAAACTTTTATCGACCGCTGCCTTCGCTAGCTCGATACTGAAGACCAGAAGGGATAAGCAAAAGGGAACTCTGTCAGCGGGCGAACCAATCGAAAAGCTGTTGCCCACAAATAAAAGTGCACTAGATACACACTGAGTGAAATCACACTCCAGGAACCCCACTAGAACTCGAATAGGAAACGAGTTAGGAGAAGATCGTGTGAAGGGGGAATGAATTCTTGTGGGCTGTTGAGAAGCCTGGTAAAAGTGATAGGAGAAAACTAAATGGAATGGAGATGTGCCACTGAACCCCTATGTTCCGGTCGGAATGCATGAAATGAATAATGGGATTAAAATTCAGTGTTGTCATACTTTATTACTTTGTAAGATTTACTGTTTTCTTCTGTAATGAAGCATGTTCAATGAAGAGAAGTTACGTCATAGCTAGAAAACTGGCGCAAATCGTAATACTTTTTCCAAATAACAGACTGTGTTTATCATGGTTGACCTTGTGCATGCATTTGGTGCTAGCTTCCGAATAATTCACTTTGAAATAACTAGAATTAAAAACCAGCCAGCTGCACATAAAATGAACCATACTACGTGTTTAGATTACTGCTAAGAAAGTAGTGGCAATATGAAAATAACTTGGAGAATCGCTACAACTTGTCATGGGATGCACCATATCCTAATCGACTAGAAAGCTAACACAACTTAGTTTAAAAAGAATGTAGTCTTGAATAAGCTGAAGTGGATTTTAGCTATCAAACGTCAAGAAAAGACTTCAAAATAATGTATCTCTGTGGAAAAACACTAAATCAGGTTGTATTCCGAACTGGGATGCAAAAACGAATTGAGTTTTCGTAACGCAGGCTCTGAGTATCTTGGTAATTTCGCTGTCGACTGGTAACCTTTTTCGTTATTAATGGCATCAGTTACTCCCTGCGTGAAAATATGTGAAGAAGATGCCAGAGAGTGTACTGAAAACAAAGCCTCAAGTGACACCGAAACCTTTAAGTGAAAACCCATATTCTAATAGTGGAAAAGCTACTAGAATACCAAAAATCTGAGCCGAAAGCGTACTGCGGATGATTCCCACACTCGGATGAAACAGCTGTCCAGTACTCCCTGATTTTCAATGGTTCTCTAACTGATATCAATCTGTGGGCAAACTCGTATTAACAAATCTAATCCTTACAAACCAAACTCTTGAAAATTAATCTGATGCTCGCTAGTGATTTGCTACAGGACAGAGTTTCCTGGAGTTCTAGTGAGAAGCCGTGGCCGGTGAGGTTCATCCAGTCAAGTGTGAGAATGGAGTTTTATACTATTGTTTCTTTCAAAATAAATAAAATTGTTTTTGTTTAAAACTGTCAAATTAGAAGTAAAATTTTTTCTCTATTAAACTGGAAAAATTACTGTTTACGGTTAGTTGCGTGTTCACACGCATAAACGATTCAGTTCATTTACGTTTAACAGATGGGTACTTTTATTATCAAGCAAAGCATAACTGTGTAACTTCATTACACTAGATCAAGGTTCCAGTCTATCAAAGGTAAAAAGACGACATAGTAATAATAAGAGGAAATGAACGAGGTTAGGCGATATCGCAATGTAGTTAACGGCCCTATATGTGACCGCTTAATGTATGCCACCATGGTCGACTTTTAGTCATTGCATTTAAAGCTTTCCCTTGTTTATAAGGCTTGGCTCACAAAGCCTTCTTATCAGAAAGTTGTCGTTTTAGTTCGACCGAACCTGACTATTTTTTATTTCTTAACATAAAACTTAGAAAGATCTGATTTGAAACCAATTAAATTCCTGCAAACGCACACACTTGAAAATCAATCTAATGCTCACTGGAGACTTGATAGAACACGAAATTGCGGGAGTTCTGGTGAGAAGTAGTGACAAATTGGGTCAACTAAGTCGGGTGTGATGACACATACTTGCCGAAGATATTGGCTAGTAGTGGCGCTGTACATCGCGAAATGGCAGAAGTTAGAATTCATGGACTGATCTCAGGATTCCATCCCAGTGGCTGAATGATCACTGATCACGCTTCGTAACCTGAAGGTCCTGGATTCGACCCCTGGTTCTTAAGTTCATTTTTCTGAAGAGTCCAGTGTTAGGACGAAACAGCTATTCAGTACTCTCTGATTCTCTAATTGATGCCACCTTGCAATTTAAATTAAAACTAATCAAATCTCTGCAAATCAACACTTGGATATTTAAAAGTTGTTAATCAGAATGAGGTTAACAGCGCTCAGCATGAAAAATAAGATCCGGATTTTCAACTCCAATGTGAACTCACTGCTAATTTATGGATTAGAGACTTGCCACGTTAGGAAGAGCACCTCAAACAAACTACATACCTTCATCAACACCTGTCTTCGCTCAATACTACTACTCAAGATCAGATGGCCGGTCAGAAAAGATCAGCGACAGGAAGGGATCTCTGGCAATGAGTGGACCAACCAACCAGGAACCGATTGTGCAATAAATAGGCAGCAAGAAACGGAGAGAAAACAAGCCATCAAGTGACATCACGCTCTAGGCCATCGCTCGAGCGGAACCTAAATGGGATGTGGTGGGCTGGTCGTCAGTGTGAGGGTGACTTGGAGTAGGTCATTTGAAGAGGTGATGAAAGCATGTGGGCAGATTTGTAGCCAAGTGAAAAGGTTGACTGAGAACTGGACGCAATGGAGACGTGCAGCTGAAACCCTACGTTCTTCTAGGAATTTAAGGAAACAATAATAATAGTAATCAGAATGATATTGCACAATAAATCAGAATTACCTCGGAACTATGTTGCGTCTCAATGAATTTGAAAACAACTCATTAATTCTTATATAACTGAGTTTACGTTTATTAAGATTCAATATACAGAATCATTCGCAAGTGAATTACTAACACGCCTCATATAGCGTGTTCATTTATGCATATCCATATAGGTCTACAAAATTTCCAGACAGATTAATTTTTAAAAATCATCTCTGTTGAAACGCTGCAAAATGTTTTTTAAAAAAGCTTGCAAAATATGTTAGAATTTAGGAATACATCAACTGAAGTGAAAATGAATATACACAAATAGTAAGCTGTTAATGAAGTAAATTGTTGCAGTTAGTGTTTTAAGGTCATTTGCCGCATATTTTCCATTATCAGATTTTTTTATCGTTGAGATCAAAGTAGTAGGTTTACCGGTAATATTATCGTTTACAAAAGGTCACTAGACTCCTAATTTATAAAAATCTTTATGCATAATCTCCTTGATGTTTGTAGAAATTTTATTGACTCCATGGCAGATTTCGTGACAAACCAAAACCAGTCATTTACGGCATACCAACAAATCTTAACTTTGCCTTAAGAGTTCGTTTACTAAATATTGCTGAGGCTGGCCGTTGGGATCCACATTAAGAAGCCTAATTTATGCGTCCAAAAGAAGCCAGTTCAGACATTGTCCTTACCTTGGTCATCTAGGCTCGAATGATCCTCAATATTTTGTATAAATTTCCTTAATTTTAGTTAGTATTCTTTTTGCTATTGTATCTGTATTATTATTCTTATAATTTAAGCATATTTAATCAACTGTAATTCCATTGATCTTACTTTACAAATCGATCTTATTTAAAAAACACCGACATTGTTACTGACTACTATTCTAGAATATTCTATGTATATAAACATATGTATGATTGTAGAGGCAGAAGAGGAAATTATCGAAAAGGATATTTTTTGCTCAATTAGTTTCAGAAGCATTGAAAATCACCGAGTTCTACAGAGCCACTTCGTCCTAGTTTTTCAGCAGAAGTCATCCAACATTCTCCCAGGCTGCAAGACAAGCTCGGTGACCATTCAGTCACTGTGTCGGATCCTAATGACCCATGAATTCTAACTTTCTCAAAATCGCAACATACACCGTGGAATCTGCCTTGACTTCTCAGAGTTTATTGAATAATTGTATCTCATAAAACATGATTTAGCATGACCAATCATTGTCAATGATTTCAGCATAAACTGAAACTTATATTCATATATTACCATTCGAATCATTAAGAAACCAAATTAGACAATATGGAAGAGTTCTTAGTGAGAATGCTCCAACTACTTTCAAAATACAAACACCTACAACTGTCTTAGCTACATGTTATTTGTTAGTTAGTGGTTAGCAGTAAACTTCAGGTGATGATGATGATGATTCCAGTGAATCATCAATCAATAGACACATCGAGATAGACAAAATTTATCAACCGATAAGAAAGAAACCTCACACACAAAGGGTCAAAGTTCAAGTCAAAGAAAAAATGAGTGACAATACAAGTAACCTAGAAGGTGTGAAAACACACAAAAACAACCAATCACGTCCAAGGTCGCCAGGAGAGATAGTTAATAAACTCGTGGAGAAATCTGAAAGCTCACTTCAAATTGAAGTATGCGCTGAAGATGTCACCCAGTAGGGTGATGAAAGCTTCGCAAATTAACTACCCAGCTCAGAGAACACAACCACATCAGAATATACTTGTTGATATGTATGTTCTTAAATCTCACTTATTTTCTTTTACAAACTAACTCAGTTGAATTTGTTATATGTTTAGTTTACGACATTTATCCTAGGTATTGACTGGACGACGATATTAGTTATTGCAAACCAAACCTACCGCACTGTTGACTCAGTATACTTATATAGGTAAAACAGAGGTGGCCAATTACAACTTGAATTTCCTCATGTAGTTGATTTTGTAGTACGTGTCTCAAAGAACTCTGTAATCATATGAGGTGTTATGTTTGGCTATTTCCAAGATGTTTCATGAACATTCTGTTTACACGGCCAGAATATCCGGTATAGTGTGCGCTAAACTTTGCACAAAAATACCTCATCATCGCTTTTATCGTCACTGGTATCCATTGCTAAAAAGGGTTAAAAGTTCTGCGTCTACCAGTTTTAAAATTTTGCACCCTAAAACAATATCAAAAGAAATTGGAAACAAGAGAGAGAGAGAAAAAACGAAAGAAGAATGACAAAAAGAAAATCAGAGAAATACAAGAAAAAAAAAGCGATAAGGCATAAAATAACTATCAAACATTTCCTAGTCAATTATGGGCGTAAATAAAATTTCAACCTGCCTGTCTTTTTTCTCGGATTGGTTGAAATTGATTTTCGTTGCCCTTGACACCGAATATAAACATCCACTAGATTGTTTTTACTCTGATCAAATGACACTATGAGATATATATATATACATATATGTGTTAGAGAATGCAAGAATGAGACAGCATAGCCTATTATCATATTTATATGTATATACGAGAAGAGAAAAGTACCGCATTCAACACCTTTAAATCTGCGAAAATCTGATGTCTAGTTTATGGGATTAAAAAGGGAATATCGCATTGAAACATCTGCGTAAAAGATTGACCCCCTGAAATCGATTGAAGACTTTAGCCTTTTGATTATTTTAAATCAAAATCATGAGTTGGTTTTCTACAGAAGAGAATTATCCACTAGAGGATAAGAATGATGCTTCATCTTTCCTATCATATCAGTTCAATTCAAGTAAAGGTGTTAGTAAAGAGAAACCAGTGAAAACAGAAAATACTATTATCCATAATAATAATAATCATGCGAAAATAGCTAAAGAAAATTCAAAACTATGGTTATTGGTAAACAGTAGTGATGAGAATACAAAACTATTGGATATAACATCAAAACAACGCCTACCATCAATCTTTCCTACTTTATCAATGGAACAATCTATTCATAAGAATAATCAAAGACAGAAACAGCCCACTTGTCAAGTAAAAACAGAATTTACTGTGAGTAATAATAGACCATGCTGCTGCGTTAAAAATTTAGATGAAATCGATCAGTTGTATAACAAACTACGGAAACAGGTAAGTTGCGTTGTTGTTGTTGTTGCAATTGTTTAAACAGTATATTTGTTGTTTTAATTCGATTGTAAATGTAATAATCAAATAGTGTTAACTGTGGTTATATTTGTAATAGCAATACAATTAATAATATGGTTTACTGTAAGTTACTGAAGGGTTATCAGATCGGCTCATGTGTATAGAAGTATAAATGTTTACTGTGATATCAAAACCTAGCAGTCAGTATTATTATTTATTATTATTGTCTCCTTTAATTCCTAGAGGAACATAGGGCTTCAGCCGTGCGTCTCAATTGCGTTCGGTTCTCTGCTAGAGTCTTCACCTGGCTCCAAGTCTGCCCACACACCTTCATCTTCTCTTCACATGACCTCCTCCAAGTCACCCTTGCACTGATGACCAACTCGCCGCTTCCCTTTCGGGTTCCACTCGAGCAGTGGCTTGTCTAGTGATGTACCTTGATGGTTTCCTCAGAGTATGGCCAATCCATCTCCATTTCTTCCTTCCTATTTGTTTCACAATCGGTTCCTGGTTGGTTCGCTCATTGCCAGAGATCTCTGTTACTGATCTTTTCCGGCCATCTGATCTTGAGTGGTGTTGAGCGAAGACAACTGTTAATGAAGGTCTGTAGTTTGTTTGACGTTCTCTTTATGACACACCAAGTCTCTGATCCGTATAGTGAGTAGCGGTGACTTCATATTAAAGTTGAAAATCCGGATCTTATTTTTGATGCTGAGTGCTGTTGACCTCCACAGAGACTTGAGAGTAGTGAAAGCTTGTCTTGCTTTTCGGATTCTTGCTTTGATATCCTCGTCAGTTCTGTCCGCCTGTAGTTGAAACGATGCAGTCAGTAATGCTTCAAATAGCATCAAGCTATCTATTTATCACAGCCGTCTTTTGTCTTACGAGTATGAATAACAGTCGGAGCTTAAGGTCTTTTAAGCCTTTCAGTAACAAAAGAAGAGTTAGCAGTAAATGAGCTTGATAAATCAGTTGAAATTCTAATGTTAAGGAGTTTAAGAAAGGATTCAGAGTGGTAATTCTAGGCGGTGGCTGAACACTAGAACGTTCTTCAGCCACTTGAGAGGTAGGTGTTGTCGATTCCCAGCGGACGAGCTCCTTAACCTCGCATGGTTTTCCTGCTGGTAGTACGGCTGGAAAAGAGGGGAGGTTGGACATGCCAATGTCCACTTAGAATGCTAAGATTGCGAGGAGGTTTCCACACATACTTTTATATCACGATCGACTTATATAATTTAGGACATTCGATATTTCTGAGATCAGGAGTCGGTCAACTGTTTTACTCCATTATTCATTGGAAAGCATGAACAAACTTCGTAGTCCATAAACGTTAAGTGAATAAAAACCTTATTATTTTATTTTTGACAATGATCTTAAAACAGAGTGATCTTTCGATCTCTTAACCCTTTTTATCATGTATTATAAGCCGATGCTAAGACGGAATCCTATACACTTCTGAGTTAGAATATGAACAGAGTGAATTGGCCATCTTAGACTGTAGAATAAAACGAAAACAAGGTAGTGAGTTTGATATTAACAATTATAGGAAACCGACCACTCTAATAAATACTTAGACTTTAATTCATGCCATCCACAATCAGTAAAGATAGGTTTGGTTAAACGTCTATACAATCGGGCCAGGAGCCCAACTAGTAAGCCAGAAGATTTAAATAATGAATAACTACCCACCAGAATTTGTTCAGAAGTGTATGAAGAACCATAGAAAAATGAAAATGACAAAAATAATATAGAATTCAGAGCCTCTGTAGTACTGCCGTATAAAGAAGAAACGTCATTGGCCTTAAATAGGATTCTCAATGACGCTGAAATTAGGATGGCATTCAAACCAACCAACTCTCTCAGAGACAAACTTTGTTGGCTTAAGGACCCAATAGATTCAATTAGGAAAACTAATATAATTTACCAAATACCATATAGTGACTGTGAAGTCAACTATATAGGTCAAACTAGTAGATAAGGGTCAACTAGATTATTAGAACATAAAAAATTTAGCTACACCTAGAATAATTGACCCTGGCAAGTTAAATAACCTAGAAAAACGCTCAGTCATTGCATTGCATTCACTTGCATGTAATCACAAAATAGGGTGGGACAGGGTGAGAGTATTAAAAAGTAATATAGTTAGGTAGAGAGACAGAGAGGTTAATCCCTGAAGATTTATTTATCGATTCAACACCGCACAGGTGCAATCAGAATGACGCAACGCCGCCTATACCGGAGATATGGAAAGTAGCAACAAATAACAAGGGAAAGAGGGAAAAAATATATAAGACAAACTGTGAAACTGTGTGACTAAAACTGATATGATTATGAGCAATAATTTATGCTCGAAACTTAATCCAGTTATTAATACAGCATCATTGTGTGATTATTAAAATAAACTTATCTAATATGGAATTACATTCTACCACAGTGACCAAGTTCTGCACTTACATTAACGATAACTTGTAAAAGTACGGCTCTTTTTGATATTATTGTGTTCTCTGAACCAAACGGTTTGATTTCGAAGGTTGTATTTCCTTTCTAGACAGTACCTTCACTGCTTACTTCAGTGTGAGAAAAACCCAATTCATTCTGAAGTAAGTTGTGAAGATGCTGTCTGGAAAGAAAATGAAGGTTTCTCAGTTAAATCACCCGACTCAGAGAATGCAACCATGTCAAAAACATTTAACTGAGCAAAACATTTTCTCCGTTATCTCATAATTTTCAAGTATTGGTTTTCTAGGGATTTTGTTTGGTTGGATGGAGGATTTCATCGAAGAAGACATTGTGAAATGGTCGCGCTATGTCGTGAATGCGCAGAAGTTAGAGTTCATGGGCCATTGGATCGGGTCCCAGTGGCTCAATGGTCTAAGAACTCGTTTTGTAACCAGAAGGTCCTGAGTTCGAACCACGGTGGTGGGTGCGTACTGATGACGAGTCCCAAACTAGAACGAAACAGCTGTCTAGTACTCCCTACAGGTTTTCCAGTGGTTCTCTGACTAATGTCAGCTCATGACGAAATCATCCATCCATATTTCATAATTATCATTCTTCAAACCTTTATTAGTCTTCTTCTTGTTATACTTACTGAGTGGACTAAGTGTATATATTTTACGTATTAAACCTTGAACAGATGACATTAGCTATCCTTAACTTATTATCTAACTTGTACCTTCATAATAAATTCTGCGACCTTCAAAATTAATGAGTTTCAGATTATGGGTTTTGTGGTGATTCTGATTAATTTCAACGTAGATTTCGTTACGAGTCAGCATTATTCAGAGAATCATCGAAATACTGGGCATACAGAACGGCTGTTTCATCTTAGTTGGGGACTTTTCAGCAGTGCATGCTCATGATCCAACAGGAAATCGAATCCAGGATCTTCAGGCTACGAGTGAGTATGGTGGACAGCACTAGTCTCAAATTCTCACAATAACTTGAGGACATACATCGAGTAGCCGCTGATGAACTGGAGACTGATATTCAGATCATAGATTTCATCTACCTACAGTTCCGGGAAATCAAGGTTTTCTGGTATTGGTTTTGTAGGGAGCTTTTTGTTTGATTGTTTGGAGGATTTCATCATGAGCTGACATCAGTTACAGAACCATTGGAAAACCTGCAGGGAGTACTGGACAGCCGTTATATCAGCCTAGTTCGGGACTCCTCATCAGTACGCACCCACCGGGATTCGAACCCAGGACCTTCTGGTTACAAGACGAACACGTAGACCATTAAGCCACTGGGACCTGATCCAATGACCAGCCAATGTCTTCGGCGAGTATTTTTCCTCACACCCAACTTGCTGTACCCTACTGGTGACAACTTCTCACTAGAACCCATGTAACTGCTTACCTGAATAGAGCCAGTTGCTAGTGAGTATCAGCCTGATTTTCAATTGTTGGTTTGCAGGGATTTGATTGGAATTGTTAAACAGTTCAGGAGTAGTAAAAATCCATGATAAAATGAAAGGATATCCTCAAAAATTGCTTTGATCAAATAGTTATATTTATATAGAACCAATAGTGGGTGTATTTTTAAATTCTTTTCTCAAAATTTTTCGTGAAACCCGGGAAATTATCTTCAAAAACAATTCATTAGATCACATGTGCATTAAAAAATATGAGAATACATAAGTAACATGGTTTACGCCTTCAAAAAGGTTCATTGAAACACGTAAAGTACTTTTAGTTTTTTGTACCAAATAATTGATTTGTTTATTGCACTCATGGGCAAAAAAAGAAAATAATTAATATCGTCAACATTTAAGGTATTCGTACGTATAAAGTATAATATCGTGAAAATCTGGGATTAACATGACCTTTTACTTTGATGTCAACTGATAGCTTACCTTTAGAATGTACTGACAGAATAGAAAACTGATGTATAAGATTTTATTGAGCTAATTACTACTCAGTCAGAAACTATGAGTTATTTTGTTTACTGAGTAATTATCGAGCAACCTGTCTCTAAGATGTAATACGAGTAGTAAGTTCTTTATTATGGTGGTAACCTAGAAGATAAAAAACAGTTCTAGAAGGAAGGAAAACGGATTGTGTGTGCGGTACATCAGTGATTAAAGTGGTGGTATTACTAAATTAATTTTCAAAAGAATAGACACGGAACAAAGAGTACTCTTTCCGATAAATTCATCATCAGGTTCTACAATTATATATACATTACAATGAATGAATGAATGAATTAGTCTTATGAACGACATTAATGTTTCAATAACATCAAATCAATAATATTGATAAATTACAGCTGAACAACATCAACATCAAATAAACTGAATGTCAGAAGAATCAGGAAAGTTAATAGTACAAATTCATGAGTTTATAGTTTCTACTGAGGGCCAGGGCAGTGGTAGGGGCTGAACTTGTTTCTTTTGAACACAGAGCACTGGTTGTTTGAGGCAAATTGCAATAGCCTCTGCTGTTTGGAGTATGCGGTGCTTCGACGATTTTGGTAGTTTGTTA